ATGTTGACTATCCTCTCCAGCTACATACCCCCTTCACCCCCTTCCCAAAAAATAAAATCTGTTCTGTTTTGTTAATGAACACCGTTGTCTTTATTACTGTTTTTGCGGGAATGTTTTAAACCGGGGATGCAGACTGTGGCGGGGGGCGGGTTTTGTGTTCTGATGCAAATGATGCTTCTAAACTCCCGGAATGACAGGCTCCGCAGTGGTGGACTGGTTGTTTCAACGGAGCCTGCCAGCACTCCTGGGCAGGACTGCGTGTATGTGTCGGATATGTGACTTTCTGGCAGGGGGAGGAGGGTTACAGATCCCCTGCTGCGTGGCTCTGTGATCCAGGATAAGGACCGCTGCATAAGATCTGTAACTGCCCTCCCCCGCCACAAAGTCACAGAGCTACCCCCCCCCCACAGAACATGAAAACCACCTCCCAGACTGACCAGGGCAACTAGTGACTGCACTGTGTATGTGTCCTGATGCTGGACCTGCCCCCGCCTCTGTACCCTGCTAAAGGTGACTGTCCTGTCCAATTACCAAGCCCCTTCCCCCCCCTTCAGACAGACTCTCCTCCAAAAGAAAATCATGGAAACAGTAATTAACAGAAACGAATATTTTATTATGAACCACACATGAAACGAGGGGGGTGAAACTTGCATGGGGGCTTCTGTGAGGTGGGTAGGAAAGGACTTTTCCAATTTTGGGGAATGAGAGCCCAAGACTGCTAGAGCAGTCTGCAGGGGTTGACTGAAAGTTTTAACGGCCCTTGCTGCCCCTCCTTCTTTGGACTTTGGGTGAGGGGGGTGTGGGACTTGGTGGCGGGGGAGGGCGGTTAGAGATAGACCGCAGCGGGGCTCTGTCCTCCTGCCTCGGGTCTTGCAGAACATCCACAAGGCGCCGGAGCGTGTCCGTTTGCTCCCTCATTAGTCCAAGCAGCGTTTGAGTCGCCTGCTGGTCTTCCTGACGCCACCTCTCCTCCCGTTCCATGACTGCTCGGTGCATTTCGGACAAGTTCTCCCTCCACTGTGTCTGCTGGGCTGCCTGGGCTCGGGAGCAGGACATTAGTTCTGAGAACATGTCCTCACGCGTCTTCTTCTTCCTCCGCCTAATCTGCGCTAGCCTCTGGGAGTGTGATGCCAGGCTGGGTTGGGAGACAGTCGCAGATGTGTCTGTGGGAATGGGAAAAAGGGAGTGAATTCCTGAGACAGCTAAATGAAGTTGTGAACAAAGAACATAGTCTTTCGCTGTGAACAAGACCATGCACTGCACCTCTCACATGCGCACTCAGGACAAGGTCGAATTTTCGGACCTCGCCTTCAGTGCCTGGGGTCTTGCAGTGGCGATCTGAGAAGCGGGGCAGGACACCTCAACTTGTGTAGCAGGCAAACATGGTAAGCCGTAGACTTGTGGCTGCTTAAAACTTTAATAGTAGCACTGGCCTCCTTTCACATTGAAAGCAAAGCCAGTCTCTGCTGCCAGCAATCCGGCAAGCATGAACTCTGCCCCTGTGCCACCCCCTCGCGGCTGTCCCAGGGAAATATCCCTGTATGCTGCCCCTCTCCCGCCTCCACCGCGTGGCTGTAAAGCAGTCCCAATACTAACATTCCCCTCCCTAATTCAAAGCAGGGCATCATGAGCGACATCACCCTGATGAGGATCTCGGACAGCAAGAAGGAACGCATGCTTAGGGAAAGCATGCAAAAACCAGGGCCGTATGCCGCCATGCTTTGCCGTGCAATGATCCCTGAGTATTTGATTGTCTCCTGGCGAGGAAACGTCTCGTACCATGGAGGACCCAATAAAATCGCTCTCCCCAGGAACCTGATGACCAGGCTTGAACATTACCTCCAGGAGACCTATGTTGAGATCTCCCATGAGGATTTCGTCTCTATCCCCGGACATATAGACCGGATTTTGGTGTAGCTGCACTGGCAGGGACTAAAGAGTGAAGCGTCTTGGGCAGCAGAATCATGAAAAACCGGACTTTGTTAGATTTTTTTTTAAATAGTTGGGACTAAAAATTTTATCGCCTAAGGCAAAGAAATCATGAAAAACCCATTGTTAATATTATAAATATTCCAGTTCTGTTAAAAATAAAAGTTTAGATGTTTAAATCACTTCAAGAAAAACCCATTGTTAATATTTTAAATATTCCAGTTCTGTTAAAAATAAAAGTTTAGATGTTTAAAGCACTTACTGCTTGATCCTTCCCCTGATTCTGTGTCCGGGGTAACGGCTGGGGACGGTTGGTAGGGGATCTCGGTAAGGGTGATGAAGAGCTCTTGGCTGTCGGGGAAATCAGCGGTACAAGCGCTGTCGACTGCCTCGTCCTCCTCATCTCCTTCCTCATCTTCCCCGTCCGCTAACATGTCCGACGAGGAACCGGCCGCGGACAATATCCCATCCTCAGAGTCCACGGTCACGGGTGGGGTAGTGGTGGCGGCCGCACCTAGAATGGAATGCAGTGCCTGGTAGAAACGGGATGTGTGGGGCTGGGATCCGGAGCATCCGTTTGCCTCTTTGGTTTTTTGGTAGCCTTGTCTCAGCTCCTTGATTTTCACGCGGCACTGCGTTGCATCCCGGCTGTATCCTCTCTCTGCCATGGCTTTAGAGATCTTCTCGTAGATCTTTGCATTCCTTCTTTTGGAGCGCAGCTCTGAAAGCACGGACTCATCGCCCCACACAGCGATGAGATCCAAGACTTCCCGATCAGTCCATGCTGGGGCCCTCTTTCTAGTCTGCGATTGCACGGCCATCTCTGCTGGAGAGCTCTGCATCGTTGCCAGTGCTGCTGAGCTCGCCACGATGTCCAAACAGGAAATGAGATTCAAACTGCCCAGACAGGAAAGGGAATTCAAATTTTCCCGGGGCTTTTCCTGTGTGGCTGGTCAGAGCATCCGAGCTCTGACCGCTGTCCAGAGCGTCAACAGAGTGGTGCACTGTGGGATAGCTCCCGGAGCTATTAGCGTCGATTTCCATCCACACCTAGCCTAATTCGATATGGCCATTTTGAATTTAGCGCTACTCCTCTCGTTGGGGAGGAGTACAGAAATCGATTTTAAGAGCCCTTTATTTCGAACTAAATAGCTTCGTGGTGTGGACGGGTGCAGGGTTAATTCGATGTAACGGCGCCAAATTCGACATAAAAGCCTAGTGTAGACCAGGCCTAAGTCTCTCCTGCATTCAGGTGGGCTCTGCCTGCTCTCTCTCTCCAGTCCCAAGCCCCCCGTGCTTTTCAGCTGAGATTAGGGTTACAGTTGTCTCTGACCAAAACTTTGACTCCACTATGTTTTCTAGAGAAGTTTGCAGCTCCATCAGATGCACAAGCAGCCATTTGACAAGCATTTAACTCTTCTAAGATGTCACAGATGCAGCCAATGTGTCTTCTAAACCTGAACATCTAGAATGCATCTACTGGCCTACCACAGACATCAAGATAACGTACACAATGTCTTAATACTTGATGCCCATTTGCATCGGTGCATTCATCAGCCATGTATGCCCATATTTTGAATATGGTGGGAGAGTTCTTCACTTTTTCAACTGCTGAGTCTTTCACTGTTGCACTGCATGCTTCTAGAGAGTCAGTTGAGTTTCTTGCAGAAAGATAGCGAGCATTTGCCAGTCTTGTTCGAAACCAATGTCCAACTTCAGGATGAACAAGTGACAATGCACTTAACATTGGCCTCCAGTTTGTAGTGTGTGGTATCTCTTGCTTAAATAGAAAGTATGATGTGACAGCCATGTTAGTTCGCATAAACTGAGTTGTGTCTCCAGCATTCTTAACAGCCTCATTAAGTTCTTCTAAAATTGGCTTTGACCCTTACTGATTTATAAGGCTTTCTGCATTTTGATGCAGTCCGGAGGTACGGTGGTTTGCAGCCTTTTCATATATGTTGCCAGTATTGGCTTAGCTGATCAGTCTGGCAAAAAAAAACTGCATGCAGTTCTGGTCACCCCGTCTCCAAAAAGATAGATTGGAATTGGAAAAGGTACAGAAAAGGGCAACAAAAATGATTAGGGGTATGGAACAGAGTCCATAGGAGGAGAGATTAAAAAGACTGGGACTTTTCAGCTTGGAAAAGATACGACTGAGAGGGGATATGATAGAGGCTTATAAAAACTTGATTGGTGTGGGAAAAAAATGAATGAGGAAGTGTTATTTACCCCTTCACTTAATGCAAGAACCAGGGGTCACCCAATGAAATTAATAGGCAGCAAGTTTAAACCAAACAAAGGAAAGTATTTCTTCACACAACGCACAGTCACCCATGGAACTTTTTGCCAGGGATGTTGTGAAGGCCAAAATCATAACAAAGTTCAAAAAAGAACTAGATACGTTCCTGGAGGATAGGTCCATCAATGGCTATTAGCCAGGATGGGCAGGGATCCAACACCATACTCTGAGTGTCTCTAGCCTCTGTTCAACAGAAATTGGAGTGGACGATAGGGATGGATCGCTCGCTGATTCCCTGTTGTGTTCATCCCCTCTGAAGCACCAGGGAGGGGCTAGTTATTGAGTGCCCGGCCCCCCAGTGCTCTGGGCCCCCCGCAGATGCAGGTGGTGCCCTCCCCATGCTGAGCCCTGCTATGGTCCCGCTCCCCACTGACAGCCCTGAGTAGAGACTGGCCCGGCTGGGCCAGCAAGTGGGACCCCGGCGCCCTCCAGGGGCTGCTCGGTGGGGAGCCCGATATGCCCAGCCAAGGGGCGGCTCCTCTAGCTGGTACCACAGGGGCTGGTGCTGGCAGCATCAGGGCTTCAATCCTGGGGTGCCGCTGTCAGGTCGGGAGCTATTTGGGGGAGAGGCAGGGGTGTTTGGGGACAGGGGGGGATGTGCCGGCATCTCAGCCCCCCAAGGGGAAGGGGAAGCGGCTCGCCCCTGGGGAGATTCTCTTCTCCGCATGGCTGAATCCAGGCTCCTGGGGGTTCAAAGAGATGGTGGGTTAGAGGGGCCTCTGTCGCCCTGGGGGGAGCAGGGGCACAGAAGGGGGGGGGGTCACCTCACCTAGGGCACCTCCCTCGGGCGGCTGTAATAGGCCTCAGCCAGGATAAGCCCCAGGATGAGCAGGACCACGGCGCCCACCGCCAGGTGGGTGATGTTGGCGTGGGTGAAATCCAGGTGCCCCGAGGGGGCTGCTGTGGGGGGAAGGGAAGAGTCACTTGGTGGCTCGGATGGGGAGATCAGCAACTGCCCCGGGAGTGGAGCCCCCAACCCCCCCCCCATCCAGCAGGTCCAGTGCAGCCCCCCTCTGGGGCTCTCCCAGGTGCGGCATCTCTGGAGCCTCCCTGAGGCTGGACCCCTCAGGGAAGGCCGTGTCCTGCTGTCCCTGGGGCTGAGCCTCAGCTTCTCCGGTGAAGGGAGCTCCCAGGTGGATGAACTGCCCCCAAGACACCCAGCACCCCAGTACTTGGCCAGGGGATGGGGACAATCAGAGCCTGAGGGTCTTATTAAGCTGTTTTCAGTTAAGCCTGCAGCTTTTGAGGGACGTGGTTCAGACCTGGGTCTGTGTTTGTAGCAGGCAGGCGTGTCTGGCTCAAGGCCCTGAAGTCCCAAGCTGGCAGGGAAAACAGACTCAGAGGTAGTCTCAGCACATCAGGTGGCAGTACCCAAGGGGGTTTCTGTGATCCAACCCATCACCGGTGGTATGTAATTGTCCCAGGTCCCTGGGTGGGGGCTCGAGCCGGTTTTACATTGTGTTATTGAAAAGGAACCCCTAGATACTGAACCCGGCCCTTGTTGCTGTCAACTCTGACGGGCAGAAGGGTTACATATGAATAAGCCTTTAGATTTTAGATCCTAAAGGATTGGCAACAGCGTGATTTGTGGGTAAGATCTGATTTGTACATTGACCTGGGGCTGGGGCTTGGTCCTTTGGGATCGGGAGAACCTTTCTTCTTTTACTGGGGTATTGGTTTTTATAACAATTCACCCCCATAACGCGTGGCACTGGTGATGATAGTGGGGAACTGGAGTGTCTGAGGGAATTGCTTGTGTGACTTATGGTTAGCCAGTGGGGTGAAACCAAAGTCCTCTCTGTTTGGCTGGTTTGGTTTGCCTTAAAAGTAAAGGGACTCCATTTTGGGGCTGTAACTGCCCTGCGCTAAGCAATCTGTCATGAATTGACACTCTCAGAAGTGTCCCACCAAAGCCAGCATCATTACAGCATCTGAGCCGGGAGCCCTGTTCTCTGAGGGATGAATTGTTCCATTTCTCCCACTCACCTTCTCCCCCCAGCTCCGTCGGGGGCTGATACAGCTGCGGGGACCCAGCTGGGTCGGTTCCCGCTGTGGGATTAAAACGAGCATCGGCTGAGAAGGGAGATGGATGGAACCGAGCACCCAGGCCCGGGTGGGAAGAGGCTGAAATGGTGACACTGGCCGGCCCACAACACGGTGTTTCTTACGGCTTTAATTGTCCGGGCTGGGGGGGGGGGGGATTCAGCGCTGCAGCCCCCGCCGGGTGGGCAGCCCCTGGGCCCCGACTCCTCTGTGCATCCCCAGAGCAGGGGCAGCTGGGGGAGCATCCCCTGGGAAAGGCCCCTGCTCTGCAGCTCCCCCTCGGGGCAGGGATCCCCCCTCCCTCAGCCCCAAACCGCCAGCAGCTGCTGCTCCCCCCGACAGTGAAACACCCCCCCCCCCAGTGGGCCCCAGGGCTCAGGGCAGAGCCTGGCTCTGAGCGTCCCATCAGCACAGAGATCCCCACAGAGGCTGCCTGGGTGCGGGGCTGGGAGCGGGGATGCTGAGCCGGGCTCCTCACCTGCTACCACCAGCTCCACGGGGTCGCTGGGCTCAGACTGGACAGGCCGGTCTGATTTGGAGCGATAAGAGCAGCGGTAGTTCCCTCCACGTCTCCGGCTCACGTTGCGAATGGGAAACTCAGCCATGTCCCCAGCCGGCTCCACGTCCTGCAGCAGATTCGGGTTTCCATCTTTGTACAGAAGGAACCTCACGTTCTGGTGCCGACCCCGACACCGGATGGTCACGGCTCCCCCCAGGGTGACCCCCTCGCTGGGGCGCAGGGAGATGGAGGGTTTGGGGTAGCTGAGCTCTGCAGTGAGAAGGAGACAGGCTGTGAGACAGACCCCGGCACAGTCACCGCGCCCCATCCTCGCCGTACAGAGACGGGGCCCCTGGGAGAAAACCCAGCCAGAGGAACCTCTCCGAGATCCCAGAGATTCCTGGGAGCTACACCCGAAACTGCCCGAGGACCTAAATCCAGAGCACCCCTCTGTACCCGTCTATCTAATTAATGGGGCACCGCAACCTGGGAGCTGGAATGCCTGAGTTCTACCCCAGCCCCAGTGGGGTCTAGTGGCTAGATTGGGAGAGGGCTGGGAGTCAGAGGTGCTGAGTGCTGCACACAGACAAAAGGTGAAGAAGGATAATTATCCCCCATTCTTCCAAGGGGAAATGGAAGCACAGGCAGGTTCAGTGATACCCCAAGGTTGCCTGGGGGCAGGGATCCCCCCTCCCTCATCCCCCTAGCTCCAGTAGCTGGGGAACCCCACAGTGACTCCGTCCTCGCTCCCTGGCCAGGCATCCCCTCTGCTGAGCCCAGGGTTCAGGGTAGAGCCTGGCTCTGAAGGCTCCATTGTCCAGAGACCCTCTGTGGGTCTGGCAGGCTGTAGGGCTGGGAGTGGGGATGCCAAGCCGGACCTCTCACCTGCTACAACAATCCGCACGTAATCACTGGGATCCGACCAGTTGGGTGGATCTGATCCAGAGTGAGATTGGCAGCTGTAGCTCACTGAGTCTTCCCGTCTGGCGCTGGGGATGGTGAATTCACCCCCGTCCCCAGCAGCATCCAGCTCCCGGATTCGGATTCCACCTTTATACAGCAATAGCCTCCTGGCCTCGCACCGACACTGACAGCGGATGGTGACGGCTCCCCCCGGGGCGATCACCCTGCTGGGGCTGACGGAGATGGAGGGTCCAGGCACAGGGAGCTCTACGTTCACACACAAACAGGACTGAGATGGGGAGACATAAACCCCTCCCCGTGTGTCTGTAACCTGCCCTTAGCGCCCCGCCCCAGGGACAGCGCCAAGGCTAACAGACACCTCACTGCATCCACAGTCTGTTACTCCTGGGGAAATTCTGCACATCTGTGGACGCGCTAGGGTTGCCAATTTTGGTTGGCTGTATTCCTGGAGATTTCATCACATCACATAATTTTTCATTAAAGATTCATCTTTAATTCCTGGAAATTCCAGGCCAATCGTGGAGGGTTGGCAACTCTAGGATGTGCAGAATTCATTTTTCCCACAGAATTTTGTTTTTTCCTGCAATAAAATATATTCTGCCCAAGAAGTGCTGTAGTTCCACCCTTTGCCCACTGGAGGCCGCTGTGGTGCCAGAGCAGCCAACAGCATGAACGGAGCCGGCTGTTCTGGGGCCACAGTGGCCCCTGGTGGGCAAAAGGCGGAACCGCAGCACTTCTGGGGCAGAATGTATTTTCTGTGGGGAAAAACATTCTCTGCCTGCCCCGTGCTGCAGAATTCCCCCAGGAGCAGAAGTTCATCACAGCACCTGCCGCAGAGCCTGGTTAGGGCAGAGTGGGGCACCCAGGGCTGCTGGGGGGGTCACAGACTGGGGCTCAGGAGCTAGTGGGGTGACAGCGTTGAGTCTGGGGAGGGGGCAGGGGGGCTGCAGGGACACATGGGGATGGAGGTTGTGGGACAGGGGCTGATGTGCCTGACTGAATGGGAGAGGCTTCAGGTCAGCCAGGGTCTGCATGGAGGAGGCTTCCCAGCTCCCTAACAATCCCCCTGCCTAAAAAAACCTTCTCCCGCCCACACCCGCCACCTTCCAGGTTCACTCCCAGGCTCCTTCCCTCTCCCTCACCTTCTCTGTTACCCCTGACTCCCCCAAGCCTTTCCATTACTTCAGTCGGGTGCAGGAAATACAGTTCTGTCATGCGTGGGTGAATACCCCCATGCGTCTGACGAAGTGGGTATTCACCCACGAAAGCTTATGTTCCAATGCATCTGTTAGTCTATAAGGTGCCACGGGACTCTTTGTTGCTTTTTACAGTTCTGTCACGTGATTTAAATGAATTTCTCAAGGTTCTATGTTAATATGCCTAGAGAAGAAACTATTTGTCAAAAAAAAATTACCAGAATCTTTTTTTGGGGGGTGGGGTCTGTATAGTTACAGACACACTCGCTGACAGATATTTTGAAATAAATGACCAAAATAATTGAAACTGGCAGGATTATATTGTGTTATTTTGACAAATAAAATATGCAGAATTTTGCTGAATTTTCAGATATTTTGTGTAGAATTCCCCCAGGAGTAGGACTCCACAGGAAACCTGTGGGCTGGGTTCTGACCTCAGCCCCCCGGGGTCAATCTGGAGTCACCCCTGAACGCTATGGGGACAGGGCTGGGTTCTGGTCTCAGTCCTCCATGCTCAATACAAGGAGGTTGAACTGAGTTTTGAGGGGAAGTTTCTGGGGTCAGCTCCTCTTGTCCCCACCCCCTCTCCCATCCTTAACATTAAAGTTTCCCCAGGCCCACAGATACTCACTTCCAGACACCCTGCTCCACCCGGCAGCCAGCCAGCAGCCTGGAAAGGAGACGGCTCGTTAGGGTCCAGTTCCCAGAGAACATCCTGGTCTCAGATCTCCACCCCCCCATGGGCACACGCCCTGGCTGTCTCCGATACTCACCAAGGAAGAGGACGGTGAGAGCAGACGCCATGATGGGGCAGCGAGGGGCCCCTCAGCGCTGCCACCAACACCCCAGTGCTGAGCTCCACCAAGCCCCAAATAAGAAACTCAGCCGGTCACTTCAGCTACAGGAAACCGACGATGTCTCATCTCTTCCTGTGTCCATCACACCTTGTCTCTCATCTACCGGCCAAATATAGTGCAGCCAAAATAAGCAGAGGTCTCTGCAAAACTCTGGCAAAGTGCCACGTGTGACCGGTTTGATCACAGAATCCCCCTTGGGAACTGCCCACTGATGTGCCAAGACCACTTCTGCCCCTGCTTTCCCTCTGCCCACCTGGGACTCCAGCACCGTGTCTTGTTGAGCCAGACCCGCCAGTCTGCTCCAACACAGACCCAGGGTCTGAACCACGTGCCCCAAAGCTGCAGACTTAAACTGAAAGCAACTTAGGCTAGGTCTACACTACCCGCCTGAATCGGCGGGTAGAAATCGACCTTTCGGGGATCGAATTATCGCGTCTCGTCGGGACGCGACAATCAATCCCCGAATCAACACTCTTACTCCACCAGCGGAGGTGGGAGTAAGCGCCGTCGACGGGAAGCCGCGGATTTTGCCACCGTCCTTACAGCGGGGTAAGTCGGCTGCGATACGTCGAATTCAGCTACGCTATTCGCGTAGCTGAATTTGCGTATCTTAAATCGACCCCCCCCCTGTAGTGAAGACGTAGCCTTACAGAAGTGTTCCTGCCTTTAACACTCAGCTGCCCAACTCCCAATGGGGTCTAACCGCAAATAAATCCGTTTTACCCCATATAAGGCTTATACAGGGTAAACTCATAAATTTTTCGCTCTCTATAACACTGATAGAGAGATATGCACAGCTGTTTGCCCCCCCCCCCCCAGGTATTAATACATACTCTGGGTTAATTAATAAGTAAAAAGTGATCTTATTAAATACAGAAAGTAGGATTTAAATGGTTCCAAGTAATAGCAGACAGAACAAAGTGAATTACCAAGCAAAATAAAATAGAACTCGCAAGTCTATATCTAAGAAAACAATACAGATAAAAACCTGACCCAGTAAGCTTCCTTTTACAGACGAGCCTCCTTCTAGTCTGGGTCCAGCAATCAGTCACACTCCCTGTAGTTACTGTCCTTTGTTCCAGTCTCTTTCAGGTATCTTTGGGGGTGGAGAGGCTCTCTCTCTAGCCAGCTGAAGACAAAATGAAGGGGTCTCCAATGGGTTTAAATAGACTTTATCTTGTGGGTGGAGACCCCCTCCTCTCTCCTATTCAAAGTCCAGCTCCAAGATGGAGTTTTGGAGTCACATGGGCAAGTCACAAGTCCATGCATGACTGAGTTTCTTACCAGCCAAGCCATATTCCTGGGACAGCCCCGATGTGGATTGGCATCTTTGAGTTCATTGTTGGCTTAAGTGGTTCTTGATTAGGCACTTAATTTGCAAATCTTTTCTCAAGAAGATGATGAAATGCTTTACTAAGGCTATCAAGCAAGTATATAGCCAATATTCCTAACTTCAAGTAGAAAAAAAGATACATGCATATAAATAGGAGGAATGTAGTCAGTAGATCATAAACTTTACATAGATGTTACGTGGAATAGGTAGTTGTAACAATGTGGTTCCGGCAGGACCCAACTGAGAGTGCCAATTCAGGACCAATTGCTTAAAACAGGGCAGTTACAGCCCAAGGCTGGGGTTTTTCCACCTCTAAGGCAAACCAAACCAGCCAGACTAAGAGGACTTTAGTCTCACCCCACTGGCTAACCACAAGTCACACAAGCAATTCCCTTAGACACTCCAGTTTCCCAGTATCACCACCAGTGCCACTCGTTATGGGGACAAATGGTTATGAAAACCAATACCCCAATAAAAAGAAAAAGGTTCTCTTGATCCCAAAGGACCAAGCCCCAGACCCAGGTCAATATACAAATCAGATCTTACCCACAAATCACGCTGTTGCCAATCCTTTAGAATCTAAAGGTTTATTCATAAAAGGAAAAAGATAGAGATGAGAGCTAGAATTGGTTAAATGGATTCAATGACATACAGTAATGGCAAAGTCCTTGGTTCAGGCTTGTAGCAGTGATAGAAACTGCAGGTTCAAATCAAGTCTCAGGAGTCCACCCCCAGCTGGAATGGGTCATTCAGTCCTTTGTTCAGAGCTTCAGTTTGTAGCTAAGTCCCTCCAGAGGTATGAAGCAGGATTGAAGACGAGATGGAGATGAGGCATCAGCCTTTTTATAGTTTTTTCCAGGGGTAAGAACACCCTTTGTCCTTACTGTGCAAAATTACAGCAAAATGGAGTCTGGAGTCACATGGGCCAGTCCCTGCATACTTTGCTGAATTGCAAAGGCCTGGTCTACACTAGGCTTTTATGTCGACTTTAGCGCCGTTATATCGAATTAACCCTGCACCCGTCCACACCAGGAAGCCATTTAGTTCGACATAAAGCTCTCTTTAAATCGATTTCTGTAATCCTCCCCAACGAGAGGAGTAGCGCTAAATTCGACATGGCCATATCGAATTAGGCTAGGTGTGGATGGAAATCGACGGTAATAGCTCCGGGAGCTATCCCACAGTGCACCACTCTGTTGACGCTCTGGACAGCAGTCCGAGCTCGGATGCTCTGACCAGCCACACCCCCGGGAAAATTTGAATTCATTTTCATTTTCCTGTCTGGGCAGTTTGAATCTCAGTTCCTCTTTGGACATCGAGGGGAGCTCAGCAGCAGTGGCAACTATGCAGAGCTCTCCAGCAGAGATGGCCGTGCAATCCAATAGAAAGAGGGCCCCAGCATGGACTGATCGGGAAGTCTTGGATCTCATCGCAGTGTGGGGCGATGAGTCCGTGCTTTCAGAGCTGCGCTCCAAAAGAAGGAATGCTAAGATCTACGAGAAGATCTCCAAAGCCATGGCAGAGAGAGGCTACAGCCGGGATGCAACGCAGTGCCGCGTGAAAATCAAGGAGCTGAGACAAGGCTACCAAAAAACCAAAGAGGCTAACGGACGCTCCGGATCCCAGCCCCACACATCCCGTTTCTACGAGGCACTGCATTCCATCCTGGGAGCGGCCGCCACCACTACCCCACCCCTGACCGTGGACTCCGAGGATGGGATCATGTCGGACATGACAGCGGACGGGGAAGAGGAGGAAGGAGATGAGGAGGACGAGGCAGTCGACAGCGCTGGCACCGCTGATTTCCCCGACAGCCAGGAGCTCTTCATCACCCTTACCGAGATCCCGTACCAACCGTCC